GGACCCTGCGGTGAGCGCCCGCAGCCCCGCCCGTGGCGACGCGGGTCCCGTCTGGGTCTGGTCCGGGTCGGGGCCCGGGCTCGGGGGTCGGCCGCGGAGCCCCGTCTGGGTGACTTCACTGGGCGCTCGGGGTCCTGAGCTGCGAGAGGGCGCCCTGATAGTGCTCCTGGGCCATTCGTGGCCAGGGTTGAAAGTTGGAATTTCTGGAGTTGGTTCTTTTTAGGCCAGTGGTGGGATGGTGTGTGGTGTTTCTTTTTATTTTTAAATAGGAGGAAAGCAAAGTATGAGCCATGGTAGATGGTGGGTATTAGTAAGTGAGGCGCAGTAGTGTTAGTATGAGATTTAATTACATTGAGGTAGTTTTTGCAGGACCATCTGCAGACCCAGAAGCATTCTACTTAAAGAGTTTAGTAAGTCTTTCACTTGATACTTAAACGCACAGTTTTGCAAATATTTTTATCCTGAAAACTGCATCCTCTCTTTTACACCAGTGTTCGTTTCACAATAATAATGGTTATGAAAGCATCTGTAGATGATGATGATTCAGGATGGGAGCTCAGTGTCCCTGAAAAAATGGAAAAAAGCAATACAAGCTGGGTGGACATAACCCAAGATTTTGAAGAAGCTTGTCGAGGTGAGTTGGAATTTTTGGATTAGAAGTTCATAATCTGAGAAGTAAAATTGTGATGGTATTTCCTAAACTTACTTGCTAAATGAGAAAAATTCAGCAGGTAGGTGTAGTTTATCAAGTTTGTTAACCACACCTGTAATTTTAACTTTCATTTAAAGCTAGTATGTGTTTGATATAGCATTACAAATTTGAGACAGTATGTCCTTTTAAGTTTTCCTGACCTTGAAGTAATAGGTTAGAGGGTGCATTGCAACAGTTTCTAAAACAGTTTCTAATGGTGGAAACACTAATATGTTGACCAAAAGTATTTTTGTATATTTGAGCTTTTAAAATAGTCAGAACCCATTATTTCCTGCTTGTGATTCTCCAGGGGCTTCCTGTTGCAGGTGGAATAAAATCCATTCTTCCTTGTGGCCTCTTAAGATCTGCTTACCACTCAGGCTTCACTGCCCCATCAGTTCTAGTCACAAAGTCCTGAATACATTTTTGAAAGTAAATGTTGGAGAAAAGATTGAGCTCATTTGTTGAGAGGAACAGGCCTTAGAGAAAGACTGAGGGGAAGGGAGCAGATAGTAAAGATCTCAGACTTCAAAGAGAATGGGATCAGGAACCCGGTAGAGAAATTAACCCGGAGCGGGCTGGGGATTTAGCTCAGCGGCAAAGTGCCTGCCTGGCAAGTGTAAGTCGTGAGTTCGGTTCCCGGTACCCGAGAAAAACCAAAAAAAAAAAAAAACAAAAAAGAACTCGGAGGCAGGAGGGCGAAGCATAGGCTGACACACTGAGAAAGAAGTGAGGTTAAGATGGTGAAGGTACAGGTATGATTCTCAGGTGGCTAGGGAGGAGTGATAGAGGAATTCATACCTGGTGGCTTCTGTCTTCCCAGGAAGCTTACTAGGTTTTTTGGTAATAGTAAGGTGGGGTGTGTTTGAATACCACTTTTAAGAAGTGAAGCTTGGAGAAGCTTCAGGCTGGAAGGGAACCAGCTGCGTATAAGAAAATCCGGTGCCTACCCTTGTACTGTTTGAAAGACTTGTCTAGTTAACGTATGCCTCAGTAAGGTAGTGGAAAGAAGATTAAGCAGTGAGTTGCCCATATATGCCTAGTTCAAGGAAAAAGTTGCAGTGTAGTTTTTGTGCTCAGAAGTCTTAGACAATTAAGTGGTTCATAAGAGCCTGCCCTGATTTTAAGTGCTGTATTTTAGGGAGCCATCAGAAATCTAAATGAGGCAGGATATATAGCTTAAGTTGATCCTTACAGGAAAGAGTTTCTTTAAGTGGTGTGGGAATTGTTGTAGACTGAGATGAATTGTATGTGCAGAGTTTAGTGAGAGCTTAGTTTGGGGAAGTAATTGCTTGGCTGCAGAACATTTTTCAGTGGAGGGTCTTCAGTTTTTTTACTTTGTTTTGTTTTGTTATTTTGAACATGGTTTATAAACATGGGAAGTATTAAGGGTTTTGAACTAAGATTGAAAGTATATGCCCTGGATGTTTAGTAAAATGATTGGGACAGTATCTTTTCAATACATAACTAGCAGAATAGGCTTTCAAGTCAGACATGGGCAGAAGTCCCAACTCAGGTATTTATTTTAGTTAATTGGATAGTTTAATCTGACTCTTAGCTTTCTCTGTAAAGTAACACTGCTACTTTATAAAGTGGTTAAATGAGATGGTGGAAGTAAAGCATGTGATCTATCCTAATAGGCACTTGATGGTAGCCATTGTTACTTACAGTATTTAATTTGGTGGTGTACGTGTATGAAAGCAACATAATCTGTGATGGTTGGGATAGCAAGAGTCTATACCCTCAGACAAGCTTTTGCACCACCCCAGTTTGAGGTGATAAAGAGTTGGACTGGGTTCTAGAGTGGAATAAAAGGTTACAGTTGATGTGTCTTGATTAATGAATGCCAACATGGTGAGTGGAACATGAGAGGTGTGTCTTAATTATTCTCTCTTTCTTAATTATATTTGACAGAGAGTGAGTACATAATACTGTACAGCTTCCCCTTCCCAAGTCCTATGGGTAACATTCAAAACAGCACACACATAAGTTTTATCATAGGAATTCATGGAGTAGTTTGTGTTTTACACTATATTACCATTTATGTTCAAGGTCTTTCCCTCCCAAATTGTCACATAAATTTAACAAGAGGCAGCTGTACCAGTTTTTATCCTGTTTATTTGAATACCCTGGGACATAACACCCACAGTTGTGCATACCATAGTTTGAAGACTGTAAGTATGCAGAATATAATCTCAGCCGAGACTATAATTTTAGTTCCACTCATTGCTTTTTTAGTATAGTAAGGAGAACTGAGCCTGAGAAAGCAGTCCAGAATATTGGGAAGGGTGAGCTAATTCAGTGTGACTTCTTGCTGTATCGTAAATTAGCCATTTTTCTTTGTCTGAGAAACCTTGAGTAAAAAATAAAGTTTAATCTCTACATTGGTATGGGTTGAGGGGGGGGTGACATGTCATTTTGTTGCCACTCACACCATCCTATTCACTTGTCTTACATTATCTCAAGTGGCAGAAATGTGAGGTATATTTTTTAGAACAAAAAATTGATGTAGAAAGAATCTTCCTATTACATACCAATTTGGGGCTATAGATTCTTTTGACAGCTTAGAGCCTCTGGTATTAGTAATTTGTTTCTTTCTTGAAATAATCATATTCATAGTCTTGATTATATTTTAGACATGTTCTGGTACCTTTCTAAAATTAAAACTTAAAATTTATGGCTTTCCTCATAATAGGATGTCCTCTTACTTTGCCTTTTCCTCTTTTACTTGGCCCAAGTTCATTTTACAGTCAGTTTTTCCTTTGCTCTTCATTTTTACTTTTTCAAGTAGACACTATGCCATTGAAAAATACATGATTTATTCTCTGTAACTGTCACAACAAGATGATGGCATTTGGCTATACTGATTTTTTTTGGCATGCTTTGTCTTTTAATAAGTAAAACATTACAGATTCATTTGGGGCTAAATAAGTGCAGGTTTTGAAGGTTTCTTACTGAGTTTAAGATTTTAAGATTTGGTTAACAGAAATTTTAAGAACATAACTTTCTTCAGAAAATGTTTTCCTTTTAAATGATTGAGACCTTTAGATGAAAGCACTCTGGATAGCTTAACCCTAGGCTCTTGTTTCTTATTTTGTACTTCTCTTTACTTGATGTCTGCTGTGCCCATGGTTTAATCACCACTCCAGTAATGATGACTCCTAACTTCATATCTTCAACCCAGGCCTCTCCTTGGAGTTTTAGATTGGTAGATGCAGTTATCATCTTATGCCACAGAGTCTTCAGTTTACCCCTACCCTCCCTCAAAATAGGATTTCCCCAACGTCTCTTTATCCCATCTCAGTGCATGGTACCATTATTCAGGCATCACAGATTTCTGGGATATAATTTGACACCTTACACTCTGTTACTTCTTACATATAATCTCACAGCAATTCCTGTTGATTCTGCAGCCTCAATATGTCTAAAATTAATTCACTTCTGTCTTCCTTGTGACCACCCTACTAGTTCAAACCGTCATCTTAGGCTCAGATTTCAGTAATAGTTTTTTATTTTATTTATTTATTTATTTATTTTTTGGTTTTTCTCCGGTACCAGGGACCAAACTCACAACCTTGTGCTTGCCAGGCAAGCGCTTTGCCGCTGAGCTAAATCCCCAGCCCCAGTAATAGTTTTTTAATCATCTTGCATGCATCTTCTGGCCCCTCCAGCAGGTTTTCTGCATTGTGCTAGAGTGAACTTTTCAAAACACAAACCTGTGATTGGAACACCATTCTCCTGAACCATTGTTCTGAAAAAGAATGGTGTGTATTCTGTGTGATCTAGCCCAGCCAACCTTTCTTGCCCTCTGTTGTCAGTCTCTGCCCTAACCTTTTAGGCTTTGAAAGTATTATGCCCTGTGAATGTATTATGCCGTGATGTGTGTGTGTGTGTGTGTGTATATATTTATTTTGTTTTGGTTTTTTTTTGGTTTTTCTCCGGTACCGGGAACCGAACTCACGACCTTGCGCTTGCCAGGCAGGCGCTTTTGCCGCTGAGCTAAATCCCCAGCCCCCTTGTGTATATATTTATTTAATCTGTCTATCTGTTTGTCTTCCTCCTGAGCCATTACATGTGCTTTTTTCTCTGAACTTGTGGCAGTTCTCCTGCCTTCCAAGTGCTGGGGTCACGTGTGTGTACATTTTCTTTATTAAAGGGTTTTCTTCCTCTGTGTGGGGGAAGAGATAGCTTCTGATAGTCATTCTTCTCATCACTGAGACCTCAGCCTACATTCTTGAGGGAAGCTTCCCTGACCCCCCAGTTTGGTCAGTGATTTTTGTTTTTCCTTGCTAAATAATCTGAGCCAGGTATGGTGTTACATGCCCGTGAACTCAGCCAGCTCTCAAGGAGGTTGAGATACGAGGATCACAAATTCAAGCCCAGCCTGGGCAACCTAGTGACTCAGTGAGACTGTTACTCAAAATGAAACATGAAAAGGATATAGCTCATTGTGAAGGTTTTGGGTTTAGCCTTTATTACTGGAAAACAAAACAAAACAAGAACAACTTCCTGCTGACAACAAAGTTAATCTCCTGTATAATTTTACTCATTCTTTTAGTTGCTTATCAGATACAAACTTGTAAGGTCATTGGAGGGAATAGGTGCAAGATGGCAACAGTGAAGGAAATTTTATTGGGGCAGAGGTGGCGGGCGAGTCGTTAGAAATAGAGACTGCCCAGTAAGGCATGGAGGCTGGGTTTACATAGAGGTAGAGGGGCAGGACCATTAGGGATGGCATGAAAATTTTGGCAGAATAGATTTGGCGTGCATGGGAGGCTTTGTTTGAGCAGACAAGGCATTTTCGGGAGGGGTTGACATTTGTGGATTAGAGCAGGATGTCAGGGGCTGGGGTTGGCTTTTGTAGTTTTTCCATGGGTGTTGGGACTGAAATGGGCTCTTCAACAGTAATTTTCATCATTTTTTTCATTTATTGTTTGTCAGGTGGCACACATTTCTTCCATGTTCTCTGTAACTGATCTTGAGGCTCTTACTTTTTTTGTCCCCTTTTCCAAATTACTTTGTTTTTTTTGTTTTTTTTTTTTTGGTTTTTCTCCAGTACCGGGAACCGAACTCACGACCTTGCACTTGCCAGGCAGGTGCTTTTGCCGCTGAGCTAAATCCCCAGCCCCTCCAAATTATTTTGAATATGGGATGCCATCACTGTTACTTTCCCTGGGTAACATGATTAAGTAGTGCTTATAGGCTTCCTTTCTTTGGGAAACCATGCTTGATTTAAACCTTCCCGTTTTACTACCTGTAAAAAGTCTGATATTCATATTATATTCAGTTTTCTATGTTTAGATGATCTCTCTGAATTACAAACCTACAACTTAAAAATTTCACTTAAACGTAAATAATCATGTAACATGCACCGCACTTTCTTCTACCTGCCAGATAATATCTCTCAGCCTGTGGACGGCCAACATCCTCTTTCTAGAATTATGATGTCCCCAGGTATCTAGAGCCTAGAAGTAATCCAACGTCTGCTATGCTTATATTCATTCTCTTTGTGCTACAGTCTAGAAGGATGTAGATCCATCCTCTCATCTGTTTTCTTTTTGATGCCTCAATTCATTCTGTTAGTCTTTTCTGTAAGTATTGTACTATGTTTAAGTCTCCCCAGTTTCTTTGACTCTTGCCTAGTACTTCAGGAAAACCCCCTTTATTGCTTTTTCTTCCCTTTTGTTGAGTATGGGTTGCCTAAGTTTCTTGTTTCTCTTGTTTTCTGCTTTATCCTCTTTGACCCAGAATATTTGAAGGTTCTCAGTATGTATTTAAGAATGAATAAAGCTGGGTGTAATGGCGCATACTTGTAATCTTAGCAGTCTGGTAGGCGAACACAGGAGGATTGAAAAATTTAAGCCCAATCTGGGCAATTTAGCAATTTAGGCCCTGTCTCAAAGAGGGGTTGGGAGTGGCTTGGGGTATAGTTCACTGCAGAGGCCTTGGATTCAGTTCCCAGTACTGCAAAAAACCAAACCAAACAAAAGAATTTCTCAGGTTGTGTTTTTTTTTCGAGCTACACAGTATTTGGATCTGAGGCTAAAGAAGTTTGAGAATCACTGCATTACATTAAATGCTGTCATTTTGGGCGATTGCCTAGAACCGTCATAATTATTAGCGTGGGTGCTGAAATTGTGATTCTTGATTATAATGTTGCCATCCAGGTGGTCTGGAATATGCTTTTGTAATCTTTTTTTTAAGATTACCATTGACCTGATTATATAGCATTTAAAAATTATCACAGCAAGAGTATAGATTCTTTATAAGACTTTCATAGACAGCTTTCCTTTTTCCCAGTCATTTGATAATTACTATTCTAGGAATTCTCTGTTTATTTACCACTTTATTCTAAGAGGAAAAGGATGGACATAAATTGTCTTGGTAAAAGATCTGAGAATCCTGTTAACTATTTTTAAAATGATTTTTTTAATACTCTTATAAAAATGTTTATTGTGTAACACTATGCCATGTATGATTTTATTTTTGCAAATGAAAATGGTTTTCCTTGTTCCATGTCATCGCGAATGTTTTCAGGCTGGGCATAGTGGCACACACTTGTAATCCCAGAACTTGGGAGGCTGAGGCAGAAGGAAAGTGTTTTTGTATTTGGTATTTGTGGAATAGCTTAGATTGGTGGTTTTCAACTGGGTAACTTTGCATCTCAAGGGACATTCGCTAATGGCTCAAGACATTTTGGGCTGGTAGAGTAGGAGCCTGTGTGTGCTAGTGGCGTCTAGTGGGTATATGCCAAGGGTATTCCTGCTGACCAAGACGCAGGGAAACTACTACAATACAGTAATTTTTCTCCCCAACATGTCACTAATGCTGCTTAGTTCATTCCATTTAGACAGCTTTCACGATTGTTCTGCTATTGTTCAATGTCTTTAACGTGTTTCAAAGATGGATACTTTATGTCTTGACACTGCTAGCAAGCAGCTGACGTTGTCACAGAAAGAGCTGTGTGGAGGGAATGGGGCTTTTGATGCATCGTGAGGGCTCTTCTGCATTCTTGAGTATATCTTACTAGATTTTTCCCTTGATCACGTGTTATGTATCCTACTTTCTTTTAGGAGTTTTTAGTCAGTAGAAAAGGATTATCCAGAAGTTGATATTTTTCCTCCTTTGAACTGATTATTTTGGCATTTATGATTCTAGATAGCATGATTTTCTTACTACAGTGTTTCTTGATCCTATCCCCACTGTAGGTGTAATATGTGGACTTCCTCCATATATTTAGTTACATTATCGGTAATGTAACTAATACAATAATCTGACTAATAATGTAATTATCAATATACAAATATTATTCATAGCTGAGCCAGAGTAAAACTATTACACTTTTTTTTCCTTGCACAATTACTATATTTTCCCTTCGTTTGGATTGGTTTTTTTTTTTTTTTTTTTTTTTTTTTGGTGATATCAGGGATTGAACCCAGGACCTTTGAACTGAGCTATATCCCCAGCCCTTTAATTTTTTCATTTTGAGACAGTGTCTTGCTGAGTCACCCAGGTTGGACTCAAACTTGGAATTCTCCTACTTCAACTTCCCAAAGTACTGGGATTATAGTTGTATGGCACTGCATCCAACTCACAGAATTTTTTTTACATGATACCTAACTTATACTTCAGACCCTTTACCAGATGTTTGTCTCCTGCAGGCATTCGTATGCACCAGGCATGTTGCTGATTTAATCTTAAAGAGATATTTTTATGATTCTCTTGTTATATAGACTTTTGTATTTATGTATGTGAACAAGTTTCTTCCAAAGTATTCTGTTCATCATCAGTCTGAGGTGTCGTCTTCCTTGTGGGTCATCTTCAGTATCTTCCTGAGTAAAATGCTTGAGAATTCAATTTTCTTGGGTCTGTTAAGGTACTAACTTGTGTAAGTTTCACCAGTTTTGGTAATATTATCTCTTACTTCTCCTGCTTTTCCTCTTTGGGGTTTTTGTCCTTTAAAAAGAATCCTTCTTGTATTAATGGGATTGCTGGAAAACAATAAAAGGTGGTTGCATGTGTTCCGTTGGCCACCTTTACCCAGGAATAAATGTTAATTGTTCTGTGTAAATATCATTTATACAATAATTCTGGATATCAGTTATATTATGGACTAAATAGGGCTTTTTATAGGACCCCTCACTAAATCTAAACATCACTTAAAATATTATATGTAAAAATCTAGTCAGACCTGTTTACAATTGATCTTCTCATTTATTATTTGGTAAAATGTATTTGCAGTGTTTTCTCTTTGCTTATTTTTCCATCTCTCCTATTGGAGTGTATTTCCTCAGGAAAATGATTAAATACATTAAGTACTTAGCAGTGTTTTGAATCAGTACAACAATGATTTGAGTCAGTCTTCCATATATTTAATTTTCCTTTTTGCTTTGAGTGGTTTAAAATGTATACTGCTGAGCCTCCCTAACAGCTTTTTATCCCTAAACACTTGCTATCTTCTGTTTATTTTTTATAGTAACCATCCTAATAGGTGTGAGGTGGTGCCACTGTGGTTTTGAATTCTATTATAACCATTAAAGACATTCTTATGCGAGATGAGGAAAAACTGTTGTCTTTTTTTTAGCTGGAAGAGCATGGGAGTAAAAAGTACCCTACTAGGTTAACTTGGGACCACTGTCTTTAATTTGTGTTGAAGCTGCAGCAGTTTTAGCTGTCATTGCTGGTTTGGTTTTTCTCCCCTTCCTCCTGTTGATTTTGTATCATTAGTGTTAATGTTAACACCGTGTAAAAGATAACATGTAATATTGGTGCATCACAGACTTCTGATTTCCTGGACCACTCTTTGATAATTGTTGGCTTCTTAATCTAGGTTCTTTTAGCCTTTATTGTTACGTTTTTATACATGCTTCTCATTTATTCATTTTGGTACCTGGAACTGTCATAAATTAATATTATTTAACTTAGTTAGCTCGGAGAATTGGATGAAGTTTTAGAAACTGTTTCTTTACACCTTCCATAGGATTTGACCACTCATATTTAAATTACTTAATATTGTAGTAGTGGTTCCCACCTCAAAATCACCTGGAGTGATTTAAAACTACTGTGTAGGTCCTAGGCCCCAATTTCATTGGCTTGGGAATGAACCTGAATACTGAGCTTTTAGTTTAGAAAAAAATTCTAACTGGGCATGATGGCACACACCTGTGATCCCAGCCCTCAGCAGGCTGAGGCAGGAGGATTCACCTCAAGTTCAAGGCCAGCCTGGGCTACATCGCGAGTTTGAGGCTAGCCTACATAGTAAGACCCTGTGTCAAAAAACAAAACAAAACAAAAAGCAACTCTACATTAACATACTTTATCTAAAAAAACCACCCAGTAACGTGTGTGCCATAGGTTCATCACTACTGGTTTATAGTATCTCAATATTTAGGTAGTCTATAGAAAGCATATTAATAATTAGACATAACTATTTCTTAATTTTAATAGTAATCTGGACACATTTCTTCAGTGCTTATATATGTAAAAATTCCTATTTGGAACTGAAAATTTGATATAAATATACTCAAAGGATTTTCTCTTTCTTTTAGAATTAAAGCTGGGAGAACTGCTTCATGATAAGCTGTAAGTATATAGTGTCCTTTGAAAAATAGTGTAATGTTTTAATCTTTTTTCTCATGTGATGTAGTATTCCTTGAAGTCTGGGTAAATTTATATTTCAAAGCTGTTAAAAATGAGTTATGAACCCGTTTTTAACTTTGGTGGGCAATTTTAGGGCAGCTGACCCTACTTGTGAAGTAAAATAGTTGCATCTAGTAGAACTGTGACTTATCGTTCTTTCCTTGAGGGTAGATGTACTCCATATGGAATTTCTTTCTTTTTTTTTTGTCTTTTTGAGACAGGGTCTTGTAGTCTACATCTGTCTATGTAGTTCAGGCTGAACTTGAGCTCAGTTTGTAGCCCAGGCTGGTCTCGAACTTGAAAGAATCCTCCTGCCTCAGCCTCCCGAGTTCGAGTGCTGGGATTACAGGTATGCGCCACCACACCCGGCCTGGAATTTCTTGAGGAAAAGATATCAGTTGTATACTATATATGATAGCTTGGTTGATGACCAAATATCAGGTGACTAAATGCCTCTAGGCACGTGAATGTAATCTGTCTGAGCACTCTGGGAGGCCGAGCTAAGAGGATCTGAAGTTCTGAGCCTAGCCTGGGCAACTTAATGACTTAGTGAGATCTGGGTCAAAATAAAAAATAGTAAAGGGAATGTGGATTCATCTAAGTGGGAGGACCCTAAGTTTTATCCTCAGTGCCACAAAAAATAAGTAAAATAAAAGGAAATGCTTAATTACATGATACTCTCACAGGTAGCATCAGTTTCTATACTACTGTGGACAGTCTGCAAAGTTAGGAATGTGAAATTTTGAATTAGTAAATGGACAAGATTGGACACTGTTTGGCGCTACAAGCCCTGAAATTCAGTCCTTCTCAGATTTTAGTGTACATCAGACTCATCTAGAGGACTTTAAAAAATACACATTGCTGGATTGCATCTCTAGAATTCCATATTCAGTAGGTCTGGCATAGGAACAGATTTTTAATTGCTAACAAATTCCCAGGTGAGGAATTTGATGTTGTTGATCCATTTTAAGAATTTAAAGTATTTCCACAGTTGATGTTACCAACTTTTTCTTTTATAACTTTATACATTATTTTAGAGTAGTTTTTAATTTACTTGTTTTAGTTTTAGAATTTAAATCTGCCTGGAGTTTATTTTTTCAAATTGTATGAATCAAAGATTTAATTTTTTCTGGATGGTTAGCCATTTGGGAACAGTCCATATGTCCATCAGTGAATAAAGAGATAAAGAAAATATGGTATTTATGTACAGTGGAGTACTATTTTGCCATAGAGAATGATAAACTTGAGATATTTTTAGATAAATGGATGCATCTCAAGAGCATAATCTTAAGTGAAATAATCAGACACACAAGCTTAAATACTACATTGTTTCTCTTGTATGAGAAACCCAAAAGGTAAATACAGAGCAAAATGGAGGATATACATTGAGAAGTTTAAATGAGAAAGAGAACAAGGGAGTGGGGAGGGAGAAGGGAAGGAAAGGAAAGGGGATTTTAATATAAAGAGAATGGAACGAAAAAATGAGAATAGCTTTTGTAAGGGGGCAGGAAGAAGGATTGACGGGAGGGGAATGGGGAAGAAAAGATAAATATATTATGTACAGGTACAAATCTCCATGATTATGATGATTATTTACGGCAAATGTACTTGCAAAATAAAAAGGTTTTTTTTTTTATTCGTACATGTTTGCAGTATTTAATGTTTAAATTCCTTGTGTGGAGTTGGCACATTTACATAACACATCCCCCCCAGGCTTTAATTATTGTAGCTTTATAATATTGTGTGGTGTTTGGGGACTACTGTTTTTATTGACAAAATTCTACTCCTGCATATTTTCTCTTTTGGAAACTCTTTGAAAAATACCATTTGGGTTTGGTTAACATTCGTCGAATTTATAGATGAGAATTATCTTTAATAATAGTATCATATGATCATATTGTCAGATTCTCTTACATTGAAACACGAGAATTGTAGAGGGATTGCAGGGAAGAGTCTGTTTTAAAGCTCTTTTTGATGTCTTACTGCTGCTTTTTGTCTGAAAGAAATTACTTAGCATGATAGGCTAGGTGTCTTTATTTTCTTGGTAGTATAATGACTTAATAGGAAGTCAGTAGTTTGATGGCTGGTTGCTCAAGCTTTCAGTGTTTTCTTTTCCCCTCTGATTTTTTGAAGCATATCTTGGTTAACGTCATACTTACTAATTAGTTTATAGTATATCACAACCATCTACTTTTGAGACAGCTTAGCCACAGATACCAAAGCATTGAGATTTCTAGATTCTTTTTCTTTTCTTTTTTTTTTTTTGAGACAGGGTCTCACTATGTACTATAGGCTTGCCTTGAACTCACTTATGTAGTGGAAGCTGGCCTCGAATGCATGGCAATCCCCTGTCTCAGCCTGCTGAGTGCTGGGATTTCAGGAATATGGCACCACCCTGGCTGTTTTTCATTATGTAACTGCCAAAATCTTGGGCATTGTGTGTAGGTTAAAGACGCCATATTAATTCTTTTTAAGAAATGAAGAAAATGAAAAACAGTTACACACCATGGTAATTATTCCAAATATAACTTTCTGAATGTTATAGGAAATTATTTAAGGAAGGCAAAGTGAAATCTGTTATATGTCCTTTTTTTTTCCCGTACAAGTTTCTAATGTACAACCTTTTGTGAGACAGGGTCTTGCTATGTAGTTCAGGTTGGCTTTGAAGATACTGTGTAGCGCAGGGTGGGCTTGAATTTGATCCTCTTGCTTCAGCCTCCAAGAGTTTTGGGCTTACTGGTGTGTGCCACCCTCTGATTTTAATGCTCACTGTTTTTGAAGCAAGTATAAAAATATTTAAGCTTTTTTCTTCCTTATACTTCAAGTAGAATAATTTGAGTGGAAATACATGAAAGAATTTTTGTGTTCATTGTTGGTTATTTGAGAGAATTGTTAACAAGTTAGAAAGACTAAATATGTAGAACACTGTGAAGTTACTGATAATTTCTATACTGTTGTGGGAATTCAGGTTCAGAAACAATTTGTGGGGCTTAATTTATTTGCAGATTTGGTCTTTTTGAAGCCATGTCTGCTATTGAAATGATGGATCCCAAGATGGATGCTGGCATGATTGGAAACCAAGTTAATCGAAAAGTTCTCAATTTTGAACAAGCTATCAAGGTAGTCACCATTATACTTTTTGTGTTTTCTATGTGCTTTTATTTTATGTTAAAACATCATGCTTAATAATAAAAATCAAACAATATATTCATTGAAAGTATTTTTTTTAAGAGGGCTCAAATATATAAACAAGAATTAGTTATGGCCTTTTTAGTTATCTATTTGTATTAAAATCTAGAAATGAGTTATTTGAGTTTTTCATCATAAACTTGTTTTAAATTTGCATGTTTGTGTATTTTAAAATTAATTTTTGGAAGCATTTGAATATATATTCAAATACCAGGCTAAGTGGCTTAAAGATTACATGTAATTTGTTAATATACTAAGCAAAATGGTTATGGTTATGAATTTAAAATTAACTCAGTGAGAACTGATTTAGAAATTTGTCATTGCCAGAGTTTAATTTTATATGTTTTGTAAACTTACTGCCTAACAAATAGATGTTATAGGCAAAATGTACAAGTAGTACAGTTAACCAATTTCAGAAAGGTACAGTATTTTTAAAGTTTTCTTTTTGGTCAGTAGTTTTGAGTCATTAAAATACTGATATTTATTAATACTTGAACTAATTTGAACTGTGCTATTAAAATATTTTTTATTTTATTTTTTATTTCATTATAAAAGTATTATTTCAACCAGAGTGGTTTTGATTTTTATTATTGAAGACCTGTTTAAAATATATTTTCTCTATAATTATTTGTCATTTAAAAATAAAATATTTTTAAGAACAGAATCAACTTAGTATCTTTGTTTTATCAGATGATAGGCAGAGTTTTCTTAGAATTGCTCTTTTTACATATCTAAGTTTTGAAATCTAAAATGCTACTGTATATAGTAACCATAAACCTAAACAATTTCTGCTTATATATCACATTTCCCCTCCTTTTTAGGATGGCACCATTAAAATTAAAGACCTCACCTTGCCTGAATTGATAGGGATAATGGATACATGTTTTTGCTGTTTGGTAAGAATTAAAATAAGATTGTTGGTTAATTAAGTCTGTGATTTACCTGAATGTTTAAGTATAAAATACACACCAGGGTTCAATACGACCTATATGTAATGTTGAGTCTAGTGAGATGTATATACAATTAGCAAGCCAGTTCATACCACAGGAAGCAGCATTTCATCTTCCATCTAGGTGCTTCTACGGCTCTCATTTTTCTAGGTAAAGGAGTATTATTTTTTCAGTAAAGATAATGTTGCAGCCATTATCCAGAGTATCCTTTCTGTTTTCAAGTAACCCAAAGAAATAAACCTAATTGTAGTTCCATAAGATAAGAATAATTGAAACAAACACAAGTTTGGATTGGCCTGGAAAAATTCTTTTCTACTAACCTAGGGTAAATTGTGGTAAACTGAACATCTTCTGTGAAGAAAATATTTTAGTGATTTATCTTTGCTGGATATGTATCTCCCTTAGGCAGTGTTGTTTAATTGTAGAAAATTTTTCATTTATACTGCCCCCCATCTCACCATCTTTTCTCTTTTTGACATTGTTATCATCGTTAGAAATATATAACATTTACTCAGTTATTCATTCAGCAAGGATTGGTTGCCGAATGTGTTAGAAGTACACACACCTTAGTTGTTTTACCTGCCTAATTTTTTCACTTAGGTTTATGTCTATAGCTACCTGTATTTTCTTACATTGCCTGGGGTTATAATGTTAAGGCATATAACTAGAATTCTAGTCCTGATCTTCTGTCCTCCAAAAGTGAATTTCCCTCACAGACATCTTTAGTATCTTTTTCAGTTTATAGTTCTAGTGATATGGGAAGGGAGAGGGAGGATTGCTGGGGATAGATACACAAACAGTTCTGACAACATGTAGATGCTTTCATAATGGTTGTGTGAGGGCAGAAAGGCGATCATTATGTCTAGGGTGGGGAGGTGAGAAAGCTTGTAGAATGGAAGTGATACTGATATGAAGTACTAAAGAATGGTGGGCATATGACAAGAGGGTTAAGAGTATTGCAGGCAAAGTAGATATATTGTATGGGCAAGGCAGAGTGAAAATGTCCAGTTTCAGAACTCAAAAATAGCTATTGACCAAAATCTGTCAGGGAGCCAAGTAGGAAGAGTGTGAGACTAGAGAAGGACAAGAAAGGTAAGACTAGAGAGGAAGCATTTTTGCCAAAGTTGAGAAACTATTTGAGACTCTTGGGTGGACTATTAAAAAGTTGGGGCTCTTAAAGGTAGATAGTTTTTATCTACAAAGTCTCCTGCACCATAGTTAGTCCGAATACATACCTTAATTAGAATATTTTTCACATCTGTTTCTCATTTTTTTAATGAAATAATGTATGTATTGTTCCACTGCAGAATTCTTGGGCTGTCAAGTAAAATATAACTATATAAACTTGGGAGGATTATTTACTCTTTGTAAAAGGAGAAACATGCCATCTTTCTTAGTGTTAGAAAAAATTACATAAATATATCAAAGTATTGTACTTTGCGTAACTCTTGGGACTGTTACTCAGTTTTGATTATTGTTGGTATTTCTAGCCTGTAACAGACAGCGCTGAATGTTTATCTTTGTGTTATAGAAGGATCCGCCTGGTTGGAAGTATTAAATTAGCAATAAGAGGTAGGGATATCACTGCATAATTTCTTGCAGTAATCTAGGTAAGATATGATGCTGTTGGCTGAGTTAGTGATGGTGAGGATAAAGAAGAGTTGAATGAGAGGCAGAGAACATGATTAGTTCTAAAATTACGAATTTACCAGTTTGTGCATTTTACTGACAACATTGTGGACTTGTTTGCTTTTGAATCTTACGTAAGGAGATGCTTATTAGTCTTCAGGTATATTGCAAACTGAATTATATTGCAGAGACAATAGAAGCTAATTATGTTTACAGATTGAGTATCTAATCTGGAAACAAAATCTAAAACATTTCAAGCACTATCATGGTGTTTAAAAAATTTCATATATCAGAGCATTTCAGATTTCAGATCAGGCATGCTGAACTCATAAATTGTATGCAAGTATTCTAAAGCCAGAAAACTCTCCGAAACTTTATGATCTTAACTACTTCAGATGAGGAATACTCAGCCTGTATATGATTTTTTTAAAAACTTCAGTAAAGCAAGTTCTAACTCTGGTTTTTTCACATCTTCCCTTTAATTCCTTTTTAAATCTTTTGGTTAATCTTACAGTTACTCAAGTGTCTGTCTCTCTTTTGGATCAGTTTAGACTTTGCAGACTCTGTAACACTAAATATGTACATTCTTTTATTTCTCTATAGATAACATGGTTGGAAGGCCATTCCTTGGCACAGACAGTATTTACGTGCCTTTACATTCATAATCCAGACTTTATAGAAGATCCTGCTATGAAAGCTTTTGCTCTGGGAATCTTGAAAATCTGTGACATTGCAAGAGAAAAAGTAAACAAAGCTGCTGTTTTTGAAGAAGTAAGATTTCTTTAATATAAGAATTCCTGAAGCTCATTGCCCATTTTATTCACTGTGATACATTTAAATGATTTTATGATTCTTATTTTTGTATGCATGTATAGCTAAGAATAGCTTTTAAAGGCAATACAGTTGCTAGGCATGGAGGCTGTGCCTGAACTTCCAACTACATGGGATGCTGAGGTGGGAAGATTGCTTGAACCCAAGAGTTAAAGGCTAGCCTGGGTACCATAAAAAGGCCCCCATCTCAAGAAAAGAGTGTAGCTATTGCTACTTGCAATAGAGAAGTAACCCAGTTTTCAACAAAGGGCTTTTGTCTTACATGTTCCTTTTGTACCATCCATTGAGTATCCGTATGTCCAGAGGAGTAGTCCGGGAATTGCAGGGATTGACAACGGAAACAGAAGATGCAGCTTTGGTCTAACAAAAAGGCTTTGTTTTCAAGCTTTAGATAAGAAAAGCAAAGGAAAACAATCCGAAGCATGTTTTAGAGAAGATGTTTTCCTTCAGCTCTAAGTACCTCACACAACTGAATTTTAGACAGGCCTTTTTTTTCTTACAAAAAATAAAGTTTCAGATACTGATAATTGTAAGGGAGAAGGAGATTACATTTGCAGTTGTTAATAATAACTAATTGTTTTTGTTGAATTCTTCCATTGTTTGAAATTGTGAAGTTCCTTTTGAATACTTATCCTGATCCAAAATAAATATCTCGGGCTCTAACCATGATTCCATACATTGTACATAAAACTTTCTTAAATTTGTATTATGTATGTGGAAATAATTATATAGGTACCTAATATGATTGTGCACATTTGTGTGTATGGCTTGTGAGTTATTAATGAAATAATGTCTGCTTTTTAAACACTCACTGGTTATTTAGTTAAATATTTGCATTGATAATGAGTATCATTATAGAAGATCTTGTCCAGGTAGATGGAGTTTTAAAAAGAGTGGTTTAAGTTAATGAATGAGAAATGCACTTACTTTGATTGAGCAGTTTCACTTCAAGTACTTTGTCTGACACACATTTGCCCTTGTACGCAAAGACCTGTGCACAAGGATATTAATTGTGGTATTGTTTATAGTAATTAAGATCTTGAAACAATGTCAGTATTCTTCAATAGTAAGGTAACTAGATACCAAGAACTGGGGAATATGGCTGTTTGTAACATTGGAATTTTAATTATGTGTCTGTATTACTTTAAGAAAAACTAAATTTTTTAGTACTAGAAGAAACTATAATTGGATATCTATATATGTTATGGACGGAGGACTTAAATGGGAGAAAATGTAGCCTCAGTATAATCTAGGAAATATAAATTAAAGTAATCAGTTCACTTTTCTCTATAAAAATTTTAAATGAGAATACTTATTTATTTTTTATTTTAAAGAATAAAAAATGAGGAATACAGAATTTGAGAACAAAATGATAGGAAATTTATAATGGTTATTATACTGCATATTGTTATCTTCAAAGTAGTTGCTCAGATTACCAGATTTAGGCATGTAAGAAGGATCAAACAATATAAACACTAGCTGTTCCTTATAATGAACTAATAGAAATTAGTAGTACAATTATCTTAGCTATCTTGTGTAATTCCTTCCTTCTTTTCTCCTTTCCCCCATCCCAGTTATTCTTTCCTTTTTGAGCAGTTTCTTTTCCTTTCATAATATTTATTGTACCTTTTGGATTTTATTTACTCTTTCAATGTCTTGTAGTAGGGAGACAATATGATGTTTACACCTGAGAGTCTTGATTTATTTCACTTATGAAAATGGTTTCTAGTTGCATCCATTTACCTTTAAAAGCCTGGAGTTCTTTATAGCTGAGTAATGCTCCATTGTATAAAAATACCACATCTTTTTTATCCATTCCTCAGTTGATGGGCATTTGGGTTATTTCCAAGATTTAACTATTACAAATTGTGCTGCTATAAACATGGGTGCACATATATTGCTGTGACATGATGTTTTTAATTCTTCTGGGAAAATACCCAGAACAGGAATAGCTGGGTAGAATAGGACCTGTAATCCTAGTTTTTTGAAGAAATCTCTACAGATTTCCACAATGGTTTTACCAGTCTACACTCCCACCAGAGTGGATGGAGAAGGGTTTGTTTTCCCCCACAGCCCTGCTAGCAGTTGTTATTGGTTAATTTCTTGATGGTAGCCGTTCTTTCTGGGGAGAGATGAATCTCAGTGTTGTTTTAATTTACATTTCTCAGATGACCAGTGATGTTAACATATTTCCATGTATTTATTTGCCATATGTATATCTTCATCTGAGAAGTATGTATTCATCTCAGATGCCCATTTTTTTTTTTTTTTTTTTTTTTTTTGGTTTTTCTCCGGTACCGGGAACTGAACTCACGACCTTCCGCTTGCCAGGCAGGCGCTTTTGCCGCTGAGCTAAATCCCCAGCCCCAGATGCCCATTTTTTGATTGGGTCTTTGAATTTTAGGAGTTGGATTTTTTAAAATTCTTTATATGTTCTAGGTATAAGTCCTTTGTCTGAGAGACAGTTGGCTAAAATTTTTCCCAATTTGTGGGTGTGCTTTTCACTCTGTTGATTTTTTTTTTTTTTTTTTTGATGTATAAAAGCTTTTTAATAGGATGAGATCCCAGTTGTTGATGCTTTGAAGTATTTCCTGTCCAGTTTGGTTTTTGTTCATGAACTCTCTGCCTGCCCCTATGTGTTCAAGATTTTGAGCTATTTTCTCTTCCAGTAGATGTAGTGTTTCTGTGTTACTATTTAGATTTTTGATGCATTTTGAGTTTAGTTTAGTGCATGGTGATAGGCCTGGGTCTAATTTTAGTCTTCCGCACATGGAAAGCCAGTTTTTCCAGCACCATTTATTAAAGAGGCTATCATTCCTCCAGTAAACACATTTGGCCCCTTTGTCAAAGCCATCGTGGCTGAGTGTGTTTGTAGTTGTGTCTGCATCTTCTAATCTGTTCCATTGATCTCAGGTCTTTTTTTTTTTTTTTGACAGTACCATGCTGATTTTATCATAGTACCTTTATAGTATAATTTCAAGTCAGTGATTGTGGTGTCTTCTGCCTTGCTTTTGTTGCCCAGGATTGCCTGTGCTATTCTAGGTTTCTTCTGGTTCCAGATGAATTTTAGAAATGTTTTCTCTAGATCTGTAAGGTATGCTAATGGTAAGTTTGCTGGAATTGCATTAAATCTGTGTAACAATTTTGGGTATATGGCCATTTTCACAGTTTTGGTTCTTCCTATCCATAAGCAAGGGATATCTTTCCATTTTCTGAAATCCTTTTCTATCTTTTTTTCAGAGTACTATAGTTTTCAGTGTGTAGATCTTCTACTTCCTTTGTTAGATTGAGGTCATCTGTTTCTTTTCTGTAACAGCTTTTAATAGTTTGTTCTTATGCTGAATTTCTGGGATCTTGATTATTGTATATCTGGGTACAGATTTATTTTGGTTATGGCTAATTGGAAGTTCTCTATGCTTCACTTACCTGTATGGCAGATTCTTTTCCCATGCTTGGGAAATTTTGCGCTGTTACTTCTGCAGATAGTCTTTTTATGTCATTTGTGTTGACTCCTGCTTATAAGTCCTGTATTTTTTTCTCTGCATCATTTTGCAGCTGTTGAATTGTTACTTCCTGGTTCCTTGTTATTTTTAAGAGATCTTTCCTTTCATGATCACTAGCTGCCATCCTACCTTCAAGGGCTGAAAGTCTTATCTTCAGTTTCTTTTTTTTTTTTTTTTTTATCTTCAGTTTCATTCAAGTGGTTTTGCCAGCTCTCAGTGGAATTTTTAATTTCCTGGATGTCTCTTTGAGTTTGTTTCATGCATTCTAATTCTTTTCTGTATTATTCATTCAAGGTTTCCATTAATTTCCTATGCCTCTCTATTTTTTAATCTATGTCTCAGCAATTCTTTCATTGTGGTTGTCAGTTGTTTTTTTTTTTTTTTACCTGAGTGATTATTTCTGATCTGACTTCCTCCATAGCCTCCTGGAGTTGTTTCTTTACTTTAGTTGATACCATTTCAGAAATATCAGGTGTGTGACTTCCAATTTCTTCTATGTTGATGTCTCCTGGATTTCTTCTGGCTGGGATGGATGTCTGAAATTGCATTTTATTCCTTTGTCTAGACTTTTCTGTTTCAGAGAAATTTTTAAATTTTGTTTTGTATGGTGCACCTTGTGAGTTTTGGTCATAGGTACCTATATCACTAGTATCAAGGCCTCTCTAGAAAGCATCTGTTCTTCAGAGATATCTTTTTTGTATAGAAAATTCTTGATTTGTGTCTCTCAAGACCCTACCTTCTCAGCTTATTAAAAGTGGAATATTAGTTTCTGTTTGGCTGTGTCACCAGTCTTTTGGTGTAGGGTATGGTGAGGTTTTTACCCCAGATCTTTCCAGTATTGCTACACAAGAGAGAACAACCGATTACAACAGATGTAACATCCTAGCTACAGTTATACAATTAGCAACAATGATAGCAGCAAGCACAATTTAGATATTGACAAACCATGGTAACTGTTAGTTTTGTACTTCAGACCATAGGAGCAAAGTCTGTAGTTACATAACAGAACCAGTCATAAAGTAGGAGTTTGTATGCAAAGTGTTTCCCCTTGTTAGAGAGGATTTACCCTGGGTTCCTCTGGATGAGCCATGGGCACTCAGGTATCCCAGGCACTTCCCTTGCTGGCTGCCCATCTGATGGTATAGGGAGATGGGCCAAGCACCTGGATTCCTCCAGATGGAGGCTCCCAGGATGGTGGAAGGGTGGTGAGCAGGGTCTCTCCCTTCCCATGGGCTCATCTAGGCTCTGCGATGGCTCCCTCTAAATGAGAATATTGGGGCTGGGGATATAGCTCAGTGGCACGGCACCTGCCTGGCAAGTGGGAGGTTCTGAGTTTGCTTCCCAATTCCCCCCCCAAAAAAGAGAGAATATTTAATGTTGGTACTTCAGCTTTTACTAGTGAAAATGCATTAACACAGCTCTTTTGGAAAAGAATTT